TGAACCTCGGAGGTAACTTCACCACTGAGCTAAAAGGGTGTCTGGGGGCCATACTCTCAGGGTTTCTCCAGTTTCCTTTAGGCCAGTAAATCTGGTCTTTTTTTTTGTGAGTTAGAATTATGCTCTCATCCTTCTCCAGCTCTGTCCAGAACCCTCTATTATGATCCTGGTCAGAGCAGTGTTTGACCCAATTGTTGCAGCCACTGTGTCAATCCATCTCATTGAGGAACTTCGTCTCTTTCGCTGTCCCTCTGCTTTACAAAATATGATGTCCTTCTCCAGGGACCAGTCCAGCTTGATAACATGCCCAAGTACATGAGACAAAGTCTCACCATCCTTGCTTCTAAGGAGCAGTCTGGCTGTGCTTCTTCCAGGACAGACTTGTTCCTTCTTCTGGCACTCCATGGTATATCCAATATTCTTCACCAGCACCATAATTCAAAGGCATCAATTCTTCTTTGGTCTTCCTTATTCATTGTCCACTTTTCACATGCATATGAGGCAATTAAAAATACCATGGCTTGGGTCAGGCACACCTTAGTCCTCAAAATGACATCTTTGCTTTTAAACACTTTAAAGAGTCCTCTTGCTGCAGATTTGCCCAATGCAATACATTGTTGACTTCTTGACCACCGTTTCCACAGGCATTGACTGTGGATCCAAGTAAAATGAAATTCTTGATAACTTCATTTTTTTCCTTGTTTATCGTGATGTTGCTTATTGGTCCAGCTGTGAGGATTTTTGTCTTCTTTATGTTGAGGTGTAGTCTATACTGAAGACTGTAATCTTTGATTTTTATCAATCATTACTTCAAGTCCTTTTCACTTTCAGACAGTAAAGTTGTATCATCTGCATATTGCAGGTTGTTAATGAGTCTTCCTCCAATCCTGATGCCATCTTCTTCTTCATATAGCCCAGCTTCTTGGATTATTTACTCAGCATACAGTTTGAATAAGTATGTTGAAAGGATACAACCCTGACACACATTTTCTTGATTTTAAAACATGCAGTATCCCCTTGTTCTGTTCATATGACTGCCTCTTGGTCTATGTACAGGTTCCACATGAGCACAATTAAGTGTTCTGGAATTCCCATTCTTCACAATGTTATCCATAATTTGTTATGATCCACAGAGTCGAATGCCTTTGCATAGTCAATAAAACACAGGTAAACATCTTTCTGGTATTCCCTGCTTTCAGCCGAGATCCAAATGACATCAACAATGATATCCCTCATTCCATGTCCTCTTCTGAATCCGGCTTGAATTTCTGGCAGTTCCCTGTGGATGTACTGCTACAGCTGCTTTTGAATTATCTGGAGCAAAATTTTATTTGTGTGTGATATTAATGTTCGATAATTTCCGTATTCTGTTGGATCACCTTTCTTTGGAATGGGCACGAATATGGATCTCTCTCTTTCAGTTGGTTGGTGAGGTAGCTGTCTTTCAAGTTTCTTGGCATAGATGAGTGACTGCTTCCAACGTTGCATTCCTTTGTTGAAACATCTCAATTAGTATTCCTTCAAGTCCTGGAGCCTTCTATTTCTGCCAGTGCCTTCAGTGCAGCTTGGACTTCTTCCTTAAATATCATTGGTTCTAGATCATATGCTACTGTCTGAAATGGTTGAAGGTTGACCAATTCTTTTTGGTACAAAAATTCCTTGCATTCCTTCCACAATGTATATAATATGTAAATATGTACTTGTATAAAGCCCATTTCCGTTGAGTCAATTCCAACTCACGGTGACCCTGTATGACAGACTAGAACTGCCCTATGGGATTTCCAAGGAGTGCCTGGTGGATTCGAACCGCAGACCTTTTGGTTAGCAGCTGAACTCTTACCCACAGTTGATTTTTGTCAACTTCTGCAGTCTGAAATTGATCAAACATACAATCAGGATGCATTGATAATTACTAGTAATTGGAATGTGAAAGTTGGAAACAAAGAAGAAGGACGTGTAGTTGGAAAATATGGCCTTGGTGATAGAAATGATGCCAGAGATTGCATGATAGAATTTTGCAAGACCAAGGGCCTGTTCATTGCAAGTACCTTCTTTTAAACAACATAAATGGTGACAATACTCATGGACGTCACCGGATGGAAAAACATAGTATTCAAATCGACTACATCTGTGGAAAGAGACGATGGAAAAGCTCCAATGTCATCAGTCAAAACAAGGCGAGGGGCTGACTTCAGGAAAGTTCATCAATTATTCATATACAAATTCAAGTTGAAGCTGAGGAAAATCACAACAAGGCCATGAAAGTCAACATACAACCTTGGGTGTATCCTACCTGAATTTGGAGATCATCTCAAGAATAGGTTTGACTCATTGAACACTAATGATGAAGACCAGATGAGTGGTAGGATGCTATCAAGGACATCATACATGGAGAAAGCAAAATGTCATTAAAAAGGCAAGAAAGAAAAAAGACCAAAATGTATGCCAGAAAGGACTATGAAACTTGCTCTTGAATGCAGAGTCACTAAAGCAAATGGAAAAAATGATGAAGTAAAAGAGCTAAACAGAAGAGTTTAAAGTGCGGCTTGAGAAGACAAAGTAAAGTATTATAATGAAATGTGCAAAGACCTGAAGTTAGAAATCCAAAAAGTATGAACACTCTAGGAATTTCTCAAGCTGAAAGAACTGAAGAAAAAATTCAAGCCTCGAGTTACAATTTTAAAGGATTCTATGGGCAAAATATTGAATTATGCAGGAAGTATCAAAAGAAGATGGAAGGAATACACAGAATTACTGTACCATTTCAGATGGTAGCATGTGATCAAGAACCAGTGATATTGAAAGAAGAAGTCTGAGCTGCACTGAAGGCATTGGGGAAAACCAGGGTCCAGGAATTGACGGAATACTAATTGAGATGTTTCAACAAAGGAATGCAATGCTGGAAGCGCTCACTCGTCTATGCCAAGAAATTTGAAAGGCAGCTCCTTGCCAATTGACTGCAAGAGATCCATTTTTGTGCCCATTCCAAAGAAAGGTGATCCAACAGAATGCGGAAACTATCAAACAATATCATTAATATCACACACAAATAAAAGTTTGCCCAGATAATTCAAAAGCAGTTGTAGCAGTACATCCACAAGGAACTGCCAGAAATTCAAGCCGGATTCAGAAGAGGACATGGAATGAGGGATATCATTGTTGATGTCATTTGGATCTCAGCTGAAAGCAGGGAATACCAGAAAGATATTTGCCTGTGTTTTATTGACTATGCAAAGGCACTTGACTCCGTGGATCATAACAAATTATGGATAACATTGTGAAGAATGGGAATTCCGGAACACTTAATTGTGCTCATGTGGAACCTGTACACAGACTAAGAGGCAGTTGTATAAACAGATCAAGGGGATACTGCTTGTTTTAAATCAGGAAAGGTGTGTGTTAGGGTTATATCCTTTCAACATACTTAGTCTGTAGGCTGAGCAAGTAATCCAAGAAGCTGAACTATATGAAGAAGAATGTGGCATCAGGATTGGAAGAAGACCCATTAACAACCTGCAATGTGCAGATCACACAATCTTTCTTGCTGAAAGTGAAGAGGCCTTGATGCGCTTACTGATGAAGATCAAAGATACAGCCTTCAATATGAATTTCACCTTAACATAAGAAAATAAAAATCCTCACAACTGGACCAATAAGCAACACCACGATAAATGGAGAAAATATTGAAGTTGTCAAGGATTTCATTTTAGTTGGATCCACAATCAATGCCCATGGAAACAGCAGTTAACAAATCAAATGTTTTGAATTGGGCAAATATGCTGCAAAAGACCCCTTTAAAGTGTTGAAAAACAAAGATGTCACTCTGAGGACTAAGGCACACCTAACCCAAGCCATATTTTCAGTTGCCTTGTATGCATGTGAAAGGTGGACAATGAATAAGGAAGACCAGAGTAGAACTGATGTCTTTGAATTATGGTGTTGGTAAAGAATGGTGAACAGAAGATCAAACAAGTCTGTCTTGGAAAAAGTACGACCAGTGGGCAGATTGGAAGCAAGGATGGCAAGACTTTGTCTCACATACTTTGGACATGTTATCATGCCAGAGCAGTCCTTGGAGAAGGAAATCATGCTTGGTAAAGTAGAGGGTCAGAGGAAAAGAAGACCCTTAATGAGTGGCTGCAACAATGAGGTCAAACACAGCAATGATTGTAAGAGTGGAGCAATACATTCTGTCCTACACAGTGTCGCTATGAGTCAGAAGTGACTTGATGGCACCTAACAATAAAATATATATAAGTATATAAATTATAAAATAAAAGTATGTAAATTATATACATACACATATATAAACATACATGTACTAAAATTTTACATGGGTGCATTACATACATATGTAATATTATATACTTACAGTATTATTATAATATTATATGCATATACTATATGTGAGGTCCTGGTGGTGCAGTGGTTAAGAGCTTGGCTGCTAACCAAAAGGTTGGCAGTTCGAATCCACCAACTACTCCTTAGAAACCCTATAGGGCAGTTCTACTCCGTCCTATAGGATCGGTATAAGTCAGAATCTACTTGCGGCAACGGGTTTGGTTTTCTATTTTTATACTGTATGTAAATAATATTATATATGGTGTATATATATATTATTTTATATATATATATATAAAATGTATATCCTGGCACTTTTTATTTTAAGGTGGGCCAGTTTTAAGGTTGGACAATATGATAGATGCAGCCTGTTTTTCTGAATCGCTTTGCAGGTCGCTAAGAGTCAGAACCCACTCCACAGCAGTGTTTGATTTGGTTTGTTGGAGAGGAGGGGAGGGCTCCAGGAGGACTCAGAGGCCTGGCCCCGCCCCGCCCTCTGGCAGCAGCACAGCCCCGCCCCTCGTCCTGTCCCCCTCCTTCTGTCTGTCCTAGCCCCAAGCGGTTTGTGGGCGTTGCCCACGCTCCGCCTCCGGTCCCGATTGGCTGAAAGCTACGCCGCAATCTTCCTGGATTGGCTCCCGGCGCTCCCACCGCGCCCTCCCGCTTTGCGTACCAGCGTTGCTGGGGCGACGCGTGTTGTTGTTCGGCCGCCGGATTGCTAGTAGTTTTACCTTTGCGTCCCCAGCCGGGAAAACTTCACCGCCTGGGCGCCGCGGGCGGCACTCACGGAGACCCCCTCGGCAAGCGGGTGAGCGGCGGTAGGGCCTCCGGATCTTCTGCTCTTGGAGCAAAGTGTGAACCTGAGGTGTGGGTGCTTGACGCAAGTTTGGGCACCCCGGGGACAAGACTTCCGAAACGGGTCCAAGTTCACCCATTCCTCAATTATTTATTGCTCACTTGTTGTATACACAACACGATGTGTACGCAACGTTGTCAGTTGTAAAGCACCTTGAGAGTGGTGTCTAGTAGAGCAGGAAACACCGAACGGGGAGTGTGTTGTTCACCTTTACGGCTATGGCGCCCGGTGGTGAGTCAGCACCTGTAATTAGTTACTCACTTAACCAACCAAAAAAAAAAAAAAAAGAAACCTATTGGGAGGAGTTTAATAGGGGATCACCCAGCTCAGTGTGCTTTCTTTCTTAACAGTGCTTGCAGACCCCAGTCATGAGGAACACGAGCAAAGAGCTACACGGCGCCACAAACCGTTATGCACCCTGCGGTGAGTGCCTTTCCTGGGAGTGCGCGCTGGAGCGCGAAAGAAGCTGCGTTCGTTTACTTTCGCTGCTGGACTGCTTAGGAGTCCGGCGTTCTGTGCGTGTGTGGAGAGGGGGCGAATCGGAAGATAAAAAATTTTTTAAAGTTGTACTCTCAAAGCAACCTGCAAAACTGCCCCTGTGCCCCGCGTTAAAGCAAAACATAAAGGGAGTAATTTTTTAAAAAAAAGAGGAAAAATTAGTCTTGTTTTTCTTTATTTTAAACAAAAGAAAACCAGTGCTACCTATTGTTGCCTCACTTGTTGGAATAGGATTTCTTTGAAATTTTCTTTATAATAACCCTATATAATTCTCACAGCGTCCCCTGCTCCGCGTTGACTTCAGAATTTTATTTTTGAGCTGTATCCCAACCTATTTCATTGATTATCTCTTGCTCCTAATTTAGACCCCAACCAAGTGAAATCTGTTTACTGTGTTAAGTGGCAGGATAACCGGAAACAAGAATTCAGTAGAGATTCCTCCTTCTTACAGTTCATGCAGTAGTGGGCTTCTTATTTACCAGGGTGGAGCTTGGGGAGAAGGGAAGGAGGAAGACTTGGGATGCTCTTGTCTGATTTTGCTTTTGTTCCTTTCTGTCTGGGGAACGGCAGGAGAAAGGGTAGAGAAGAGAGTTCTGGAGCTCAGTTGGAAGAGACACTTCCGGCTCAGAGCTGTTTGAGAACCAGTGTTGATGATCCTTGGCCATGCTGGGGACTGAAGGGGGAGTACAGAGCAGCACTGAAGAGCCCTGGCCAGGAAGCCTGTTCTGTTCCCCTTCTCTCACCGTGTGCTCTCAAGCTTTTATATGACTTCTGTGACTGGGTTAGTGGCCTCATCTGTAAGAATGATACTAACAAAAGCTAACCCGTTCCAAGCACTTTACATATACTAACTCATTTAAACTCATAACTACCCTATGAGGTATCATCAACCCTGTTTTATAGATGAGGACGCTGAGGCACATAGGGTTTTAAGTAATTTGCCCAAGGTCATACCCCTGACAAGTGACAGTGTTGCTCCACAGCCCATGCCCTAATCCCTGTTCTCTGAGACAGGAGCCTTGCCTATCTGCCTAAGCCCCAGTAGTTTACAAAACACTGCACCATGGCCCAGAGGAGATGGTTGGTCTTCTAGTCTCTTGCAGCCTCTTTTTCCTCGTTAATAAAATAAAAGCACTAATACCTAGAATATGGGAATACAGAAAAGGATGAATAAAGAAAACCTGTATGATTGTCAATGAGCCGATGCCATACAAGGACTTCTAATTTTGAGTGATAAAAGCTAAAGGATAATTCTTTATCTATCCCTTTAACTCTGTTGTGTGTGTTTTAGATGGTGGGGGTTGATTCTCACTAACTCCTGCCCTTGCTCTCTGAGTTCCTTTGGCAGGTGCATTGATAAAATGGCCAGCCAGATTAGAGTTCGGTGCATGCCTGAAGCTTCCAGTAATGAGAAGAAGGTAGAACATACACTGTTCTCTGTGGATTAATTAGTAATCAAAGCGTGGAGAGGAAAAATAAAGCAAGAATCTAATGCCTTTGCTCCATAAGAGAAAATATTTGAATTGAATATGATCAGAATATGAAGCTGCTAAACTCCTACTTTTAATCCTTAAATTGATTCCCTGTGGTTGTCTGGCTGTGCAGTTCTTTCTTCTTTCTTTTACAAAATGGCTTAATGTAGATTTAGTTAATTACTGTCTGCTAGGTATTAAGAGATTTGCCATGCTAAACAGAATTCCTTTTTTATGAGGTGAAGCCAGCTATAGTCCTAAGTAGATACTGGATGTCTAAGCTTTTTGCTTAGAGGATGGATACTTCTTGTTTATGGAACAACTGTGTTCTTGTTGTTAGGTGCCATCGAGTCAGTTCCAACTCATAGTGACCCTATCTGCAACAGAATGAAACACTTCTCGATACTTCGCCATCCTCACAGTCGTTGCTATGTTTCAGCCCATTGTTGCAGCCACTGTGTCAGTCCATCTCCTTGAGGGTCTTCCTCTTTTTTGCTGACCCTCTACTTTACCAAGCATGATGTTCTTCTCCAGGAACCGGTCCCTCCTGATCACATGTCCAAATTATGTGAGCCGAAGTCTTGCCATCCTCACTTCTAAGAAACATTCTGACTGTGTGCTTATGTGAATTTATTTAACACTGTTTTCCTGTCCACCTACCACGAGCAGGGTATGGTGTTGGAATCTGAACTTCATGAATTTGTGACAGTAAATTTTAATAAGTGTTACTAAATACACCGAGTCACTTGTGCCACATTAATTGCATTTTTTCATAGTTCACATTTTTGCTGGATTTTGTTTGCACAGTTTTCAATCAAGTGTGATTTTTTTTCTTATACTTGGATATCTGGTTAATCAATTTCTGATGCAAAGAGTTACCTAAGACACCTATAGACCGAATGTCCCCAGATATCTTCTCTCTGTGGGGTCATAAGTAAACACCAGCAACTCCAAATCCCTGGGGTTTTGCCAACGCCTGTAACTCCTGACAGTAGCTCCCCTAAAAGTCTCCAGGAAGTCTCAGGGGCAGTCCTACCCCAGTTGGCCGTGATCTGTCCTGGATGCCTGGAGCTGACAAGGCCACTTAGGGACTGACATCACCTTGCCCGGCCCGTGGTCAGCTTCCCCTGCCCATGGCTCGTCTCTGCACTGGTCTCATGTCAGGTTTGGGAGGGAGCACAGGAGCAACCACTCCTGGTTTTCCTCTCCCCCATCCTTCTCTCACAATGGTGTGCCAGACTTCTCTTCATGGGACCCCTTCCCAGTGTTTCAGTTTACTGGGACCCTACTTGAGGTTTTCCAGGGAAGCCAGACTCAGTCACTGTAGGAATCTATGGCCTAAGATGGTTTCCCATAGCAAGCGGCTGCTCTCGCAATGCTAGCTTGCCCTTCCCTTCACTGTCTCTTTTCAGTCACCACTTACGACATCGGTAGCTTTTCACTTCTGACTTCTCATGATGTTCTCCTTTTGCTTCAAGCACAAATACATATGGGGTTGGGGGGACTTGTTTGAAGGGAAGACACCTATCTCTGACAAGAGGGTTTGCCTTCCTGCCAGCCCCTGGAGTGGTGGGCTGCGGGAGAGACAAGTGGGCTTCAAAGAAAATTGTTCAGTAGGTGAAGTTTCTTTGACAGTGGTCCAGTCCTATCTGTTCATACTCTTGCAAAGTTGGTAAAAGCGGTCAATACGGCTATTATTTCTGGAACAAATTTTTATTTCAATATTTTTAATGTACTAAGTTTACCAAGAAATGAGGGTGGCAAGATTTCCTCTTGCTTATTTTGGATTCGTCATCAGGAAAGACCAATCACTAGAGAAGAACATCATGTTTGGTAAAGTAGAGGGTCAGTGAAAATGAGGGAAACCCTCAACGAGATGGGTTGATACAATAGCTGCAACAATGGGCTCAAACATACGTACCAACAATTGTGAGGATGGCGCAGGACTGGGCAGTGTTTCATTCTGTTATATGTAATGAGTTGGAGCTGATTTGATAGTAACTAACTATAACAACAAAGTTTATCAAACCCTAGCCAAGTATTCCATAGACTTATCCATAAAGTTTTAAAAATTATTTGGGATTTTTCAGGAATGTACTGGCACTATCTCCAGTTACCGTCGAGTTGATTCTGACTCTTGGCGACCCCATGTGTGTCAGAGTAGAACTGTGCTCCGTAAGGTTTTCAAATGGCTGATCTTTTGGAAGTAGATTGCAAGTAGATTGCCAGGCCGTTCTTTCAAGGTGTGTCTGGGTGGATTCAAACCTGCAACCTCTCAGTTAGCAGCTGAGCATATTAACTGTTTGCACCACCCAGGGATTCCTTCAGGGATGTATGTTCCCCTAAATAACCAGAAATGCAGTTAAGTCCCACTTTCATGGAGGATTAAAAAGAGAGAGAGAAAGACACACACATGCACACATACGCATTTACATGTAAAGAGGTTTGGAAACCTAACTAGGAAGCCAAAACACTATGGAAGAGGCTCAGATTTCACCACTTTAGAGCAGAGAGCTGGCATCAGCAGAGAGAAAAGAGCAAGAAGGGCCCGTGGAAGGTGCTTTTCTTTATTTTGGGATTAGCAGTTGACATACCAGTAGATTTTAGAGACTTTTAATTAAATAACCAGCAGAGTTGCCAGTCATTAAACAGCATTCAAAAGAGGAATGTTTCTTCCCTTGCTAATGTACTTTGTGGCATGCAATGCCCCCGATTGTGTTATCTGCACAAAGACAACTACGAAGCATGTCAGACATGCCCACTAACATAGACGTATTCTAGGCTGTGGAACAACCCAAACTGTGAAATTAATGCATAAATGACAATGTTACCTTTGGCCTCGCACTCTTATAGATTGGTATTACCATCTTCCAGTGAAGCGGTCCGAGAAGGCTGTGGACGCCCCACCCGCGTCGCAGATCCCAGGTCTTAGTGAGGTTGGAGACACACAAAATGGGAACACGTTTGGGACTCGTAGATACTGGATAAAAGAAACAGACTCAGAATATATCAAGCTCGCGAAACAAGGCGGCAGGCCTGGTAAGGACATTGATTTGCTTTACTTAATTTTCACTTGAAAATTAGGTCTGTGAAGAGGAATGATAGAGTGGTTCCTTTAATAATTTAATTTCTCCAGTGTAAAAATATTACTGTAAAATCTAAGTTTTGCCCAAGGCCTTTAGAAATTTAGCTTAATCCTTCTAGAGTTTGGGATATTTATAATCTTCAGTGATTTGCTGATATTTATGAGAAGTTAAGTTAAACAGACTTTGAATTCAAAGAATTATCTTTGTAGGACTTTCTTTTTCCCCTGAATGATATCCTTTACAATGATTGACCGCATTTTATTTCCTTATTACCAAAAAGAAACTCAGAAACTTGTGTGCTTTAACAGAGAATCTGTCTTTCGACTGTTTAGTGTACTCGCTTGGTGTAACCACTTCCTGACTAATTTGGGAAAAATATTCTTTTCTTCTTGTTTATTCTCATTTTCACTGCCTTGCCCTCTTTGACATATTTAATAATGAAGATTATAGAAGAGCTACTGTATAGTATTTCAATGACGATGTTGACGGAGACCAAACTTTTATATGTGCTTTAATTGAGAAAGTACTGCTGGATTGTGCTAAGGCATATTGCTTTTAATGGAAATCACTGATACCAGCGTTATGGAACATATCTAAAATATCTTAGAGTTGGCCTTGTGGTAAATAACACTAGAGATACTAATCTGTTTTTCCCTCTGGTTGCCATTACCTCTAAGGAGATTATTAGGAGGGAAATGGGAAACAAGATGGCAAAATCTTTGCTTTAATATTAAAAGACCAATTACCAACAATTTGATTTACTACCTCTAAGTGCATAGAATGGGACCTAGAAATTTTTTCTTAGATTCACACCCAACCATTGGCTAGAAGAACATTAATGGAATAATTGGCAAAATCTAAATAAGGTCTGTAAATTGGGTGAAAGTGTTGTGTCACTCTTAGTTTGCAGATTTTGATAATTGTGCTGTGATTATGTGAAAGAATGTCTCCAGGAAATAACACTGAGGTATTTGGGGGTGAAGGGGCATCACGTCTGCAGTGTGCGCCTGAAGGTTTCTGGAAACTAGAATGACAACCGTGATAATAATGTGACAGGGAGAACGATGAAGCAGGTGTGATAAAATGGTAACATTTGGAGAGTCTTGGTAAAGGGTATAGGGGAATTTGTACTATTCCTAATACTTCTCTGTAAGTCTGAGATATTTAAAAATAAAAGTTAGGAACAAAGAACGGTACCTGGCACATAGTAAGGATTCAGTAAATGTTAGCCACCACTGCTGTTAATTGTTGTCATCATTATTATGAGGCAAAACCAGTTATTCCCACTTTCCTGCCTGCTGATGGCTGACACCTCCACCCCAACTATGAAAAAATCCTTGGGATCAGGGGACGGATGGATGTCAGCCAGAGGGGCAAGGCAGTGGGTTAGAAGCTGGCATGTCTCTGAGAAGGAGTCTTATACTCTGTACTTCTCAGGGTTGGCTCCAAGAGTGGGGTGGCACTGATAAATCACCCCCCAGTAAGTCTACCCCCCGAAGCCTGTGCCCTACTCCCCACCTGAGAACCTGGGGTGGGGGGCAGCCTTGTGCAGGGGCCAGGGGCCTAGAGTGTACTACCTGAGGTTCTGACAGGCCTAATGGCAGAAGACCGCAGGCAGATTGTCCTGTGCTTGCAAGAGCGACTTGGGGGTAACAGGAGAAAAAGGGAGGGAGCCAGAAAGCCCAGCACCCTGAAGATCTGAGGAGTTCTGCAGATGTCAGCATAGAGGAATGAGCCCCACCCTAGGAACTGGTGGATGTGGCATGTATAGGTTCCAACTCAGGGCCAGATTCTTTCTCCAGAGCCATGGAGGAGAGATGGGGCGGGTGGGGGAGGGGTGCCCCCACCTGCTGACCTAGCAGAGCCTGCACATACCAGCGGGTGCCAGTAGGTAGGCAGGTGTGAACAAAAACTGCCTCTGCTGGTCCTGCTTTTCTGTTAGCCCAAAGCTCAGATTTAAACCCAGAGAAGAAGGCTAAGGGGAAGACACCTGGGCTGACTGACTTACCCTGGCTCACCTGAGAACAATCTGGAAATGACTAACTTTTTCTGGAATTTTCTGCCATTAGGCAGGAAAGGGGATTGTCTTAGTCATCTAGTGCTGCTGTAACAGAGATACCACAAATGGATGGCTTTAACAAAGGGTTATTCTCTCAAGAGTCCAGTAGGCTAGAAGTCTGAATTCAGGGTGCTGGCTCCAGGGGAAGGCTTTCTCTCTCTGTCAGCTCTGGAGGAAGATCCTTGTCATCAGTCTTCCCTTGGTCTGGGAGCATCTCAGCACAGGAACCTCAGGTCCAAAATGCACAGTCTGCTCCTGGCGCTGCTTTCTTGGTGGTATGGAGTCCCCCGTCTCTCTGCTTGCTTCTCTCTTTTATATCTCAAAAGAGTTTGGCTTAAAACACTAATCTTGTAGATCTCATCAATATAACTGCTGCTAATCCATCTCATTAACATCATTGTGATAGGATTTACAACACATAGGGAAATCATCAGATGACACAATGATAGACAATCATACAATACTGGGAATCATGACTTAGCCAAGTTGACAGATATTTTTGGGGGACGCAATTCAATCGATGATAGGGATTAAGACAGAAATTATGTTGCTTTGTGAAACAATGAATCCATTACATTCTTCCACATTTGAGATTAATGAACTAAAAGCCAGGTGTATTTTTATGTACTTGATGTGTTCCCTGGTGGTGCAGTGGTTCTGAGCTATGGCTGCTAACCAAAAGGTCGGCAGTTGAAATCCACCATCCGTTCCTTGGAAACACTATGGGGCAGTTCTGCTCTGTCCTATAGGGTCTCTATGAGTCAGAATCTACTCTGTGGCAACAGGTTTGGTTCCTTAAAGAGCTGTATGTAAATCAAATATTTGTAATCGGTAAAACAATCAGTGCATCTTTTTTAAAGCTATAATCAGTCCTTGTTACTAATATATTTTGATGTTTTTAATGTGTCAGGTTTTCCTTAAGCAAAATACATTGTTTGCATAAATTCAGACACACATTGTGCATCCTGAAACATCTATAAAACATAGAACAAACCGGGGCCCTCCAAACCCGAAAAGCTGCAGACATTGCCCAAACTCGGGCCCAAATATCAGGGTTCTTACAGCTCACACACAGAACTCAGCATCTGTGTTGCTGTTTTATGGTTAAAGTTTGACGGCAAAAGCAAGTGCGAGGTTGGTGCTGCGTGTTTGTTTTATAGTCACTGTCCTGGATGAGTTGGGCACATCTCTGATTGCTATTGATAAGCCCAGTTTTGGGATCTGCTGTTTTCTTCCAAGCTGGTGGGAAACATTACTAAAGGGACCATCTTGAAAGTGTGATCTGGCTCAGGCTCCCTCTCTCCCTCTTTTATCCCTTGGTCTTTGTCCTGACTCACTGAGTAATGTTGATGTCGGTCCAGGTTTACTTGCTCCAATGTCACATTGAGGTGAAAAGTGCTTTTGAAATTATTTTACAGATAGGCAGACCATGTTCTTACTCGCATTTTATGGCTATTAAAACATAGTGCCATTGTATTGATTTTATTATTTTATTTAATATAAAAGCATTTCCCCATGCTTACTTTCCTAAACTCCTCTTCCCAGTTTTTATTCTCACATTTTGGCCTTTGTAATCAGTTGACACCTTTCATAACCTAATGTATCTAGGAATTTTTTTAAATTATATTTTAGTTTATTACAGATGTAACTATTTAAGCCTTAGGTAAACACAGAGAATAATATTAGCTTTTTTGTGTTGTCCTTACTGGAATCTTTATGCAAGAAAATGCTATGCTATTTAGTCCCCGTTTCCTAAACTCTGCCCTAATTTTGGGTGATTATCTTGCACGCTATAGCAGACTTTTGGTGTTATAGTTTTATCAATAAATAGCTTTAAGAATTATATGTAATTTTTCTATTTAGCTAGGAATATTTATTTTCCTAAATAGATATGTTCTTTGCTGTGGTACATTTTCATTTAAAATAGGGTGTGTTACTGTTCTTCTCAAGATTTAAATGCTACCCGACCCTTAGTGGAAACGTCAGCAAGAAAAACATTGTCATAGTTAACTTAATCTGAAGCAAATTATACATATGGAAACTTGATATTTTTATAGGTTGTTGAGAAATTATCTGTATGCTTTAGTTGAAATTTCTAGTGCATACCCTCCCCCCCTTTTTTAAAACAGATCTCAGTTTTTGTTTCTTGTTGGTGTTTGGTATTTGCATTGGTGTGTTTGGGGCATTGATAGCTGAGAATCTACAGATATTTTATGAACCAAAAAAAACCCATAGTTTTGTTTAGAAATATTTATTTTTTAAAAAAATTCTCAAAACCCTATTCATATTTTAATTGCAGTCTAAAAACTAGCACATAAAAATAAGAAATATAAGTAAAATGTATGCAGGATAGACTATGAAATGTCACATTCCAAAATTAATTTACTTTATTGAAAGCAAAACATAATTCAGATGTAGTTTATCTTATATTCTTTTAGTCCCACTATGATTTGATGTGCTTGATGTGCTATCCTGTAGCGTGATTGCAAACATCAAGAAAACAGAGCAAAAGAGCACCAGGCTTCATCAGTTGGCTTGGGCCCTACACCACATTCGCCCTGGGAAGCTCCAGGACCACGGAGTGTGTGGGACCCCTCTGTGCTGTAGGTCCTGCCCAGCCTTCCCTTTAGACTCTCTTCCTTTCTTCTTTAACATCCTGGGATTTATACCTTAAACCACAATTTTTCTCAAGTCAAAGGTGAAAGAAACCTTTCTTTCTCCACTTCCAACTGGTGGTGGAAACATTAGTCCAGTTGCTTATTTCTTAGTAGTGACAGGTGATGATTGTGGTGGGCCCTGGAGGCACATAAGAGCTCAGTAATAACCCCTGCGTGAACCACAGCCTGTGTCCGTGTGCCGTGTGTGGGCAGCAGGAAGCCACTCACAGTCAAATCTTTTTCCCTTTGAGATCTGCTGAAGCACTTTGGCCCTGCAACCCAGAAAGGCTCCCCAGTGACGTACTCAATGCCAGACTGGTACCTCCACCACAGCAAACCCCCAACGGCCAACCAGAGAGAGTGAGTATTTGAAGTACTCATGTTTTTTAAAAATCTTTCCAAGGGGGAAAAATGTGTGTGTGTGTGTGTGTGTGTGTAGAGAGAGAACATTTTGACTTTAAAAAATGCAAATATCTAATCTTGATACCAATATGGTGATATTATGACTTCTGGTCCTATTTTACAGTAGCTAGCTGTTTGGGTGGAAGCAGCATAAATCATTAGAAACTCAGAGTTCTAGAAATCTGTAGTGGTGTTGTGCTCATAGAGCTGTCCATCTGTGGCCTAATTATTGGTGAACTGTTTCATGTTCTTGTTCTCTGTGTCATGGGACCTGATTATGCCTGCCTGATTTATTTCTAGAAACAACAGCCTATCCCAAAGCTTTCTTCTCATTAAAGATGAAAGACACCATGTAAAGCTAGAAATAATGGAAAATGCCAAATTTCTATAGTTACAAATATATGGGGGTCCATTGTCCCCCATAATGTTTGAATGTCTGAGAAATTTCTATGTTTGGACATTCAAACTGTGTCTTCCAAACCGCCTCTCTTGGACTGTGAAAGTAACATTATTTCTTATCACTTCCCCAGTCTTTTGTTTGGGAAATACTGCTACCAGAGATGTGTTTCCAGGCTGTTAGCTAGTGTCATTTGAATGCTCTGCCTCTGTTCATAATGTGGTTTTGTCTTCAGACTTCTTGTGCCCCCTGTTTTTTAAAACTAATACTTTGGGTTAATATAGCCTACCCCCAGTGTTACACGGTATATGAGGGAAATGAGGTAGAGCAGAAGAGAACTTTAGAAAGGAAAACCAAGAGAATTTGAAGGCACTCATAAAGCATCAGGCTTATAGAAAGAGACCTTTGCAAGTCGCCTTACAGTAGAATGCAAGTATTAGAGGGAGATTCAGCAGGTTTAGGTTTGTTAACTATTTCTTGATTCTATGACCTCTCTGACATTACCTGGAAATGGCCCAGCTATAGAAAGTACACTTTGTTGTCCTGTGGCTGCTCTGAGGATGCACAGGTCTTCTCGCAGCTGAGGGTGGAACCTGCTTAGGCTGGGTGCCATGAACCACTGGCAGACTGGATCATTTGACTTTATATAATGGTGTGTTCTTCAAGAGTCATGTCTGTGTTGGGTCTTCTGGACCCCATGGACACTCAACATGGGCCCCAGTAACGGTGTTTGGTATGTCCCTGCCTCTCTTGCCTCTACCACCCCTATGGAACTTTCCTTCTCTTCTTTCTCCTTTATTTTCCAGCAGACCTGTCATTACCATACCACCCCCAGTCTGATCATGTCCCCTGTACTGGTTGAGAGAAAGAGAGCATTTTGTCTTCTCCCATCCCTTGTGTCTTTATTAATCGCCCAAGACTCGTAGCAATGATCTAGTTTCTGAGACCCTTAGTGTCTTTCTTCCTCCTCCCAACTCTGGCTCCAGATCACAGGACACTCAGAGGTAGAGGGTAAGAAGTACAGGAGTGTTCTTTCCTTTACTGAGCATGTGGGAACCCAGGAGCCACACCTTAACGATGCTTCAACTTATTTTTTTTAACTGCCCTTTCCTTCGTTATTTTCAGCCTATTTCTGCCCGTAGAGAATCTTGGAGACAGGAGGGCTGCAGAGAGGCGCCTCTTGCTCTACTAGCTGTTGAAGTTGGTAGTGTTTAGAGCTTCACCCACCTGCCGACCTTGGCACCTGTGCCCTCCTGGAGCATTCCACCCACACTAGTGGCTCCCCTTGCTGTGGCTTTGCTGTTAGCTCCTAGATCTCTTCTCCCAGGTGTGGTCTCTCTGGAACCTCAGCTCTGCATAGACCACTGTGTCCTGGCCTCTCCACTTGAATATTGCAGAGGCTCCCGCAGGCCTCTCCTTCAGGCCCCATGGTCTCAGGGAGGGGTGGATGCCTGGGTGCCTTGCCTGCCCCTTCCTTTTCCTCTCACTGTACTTTCTGATGTTCTGCTGAGTTAGTCAGCTTCTCTTCCATCGCCTTGCACTGAGCAACCTGTCACCCCAGTCATCGCATGCTTGGATAATTGCACATGCCTCCTACCTCCTCTCCTGCCCTGGCTTTGCAACCTTTTCAGACCCTTGCCCCCTCCATGCTCCATACCCAGCCTACTTCAGTTCTCCTACTAAATTCAAAATCTGGTTCTGCTGCTCAAGCCTCCCGCAACACCTTTAGTTTTTAGTGGCACCTCATTGCTGTTAGGAGTCTCTGGGTGGTGCAGATGTTAATGTGCTCAGTTATTAACCCAGTGGTTGGTGGTTGGAGTCCACCAAGAGGTACCTCAGAGGAAAGGCCTGGTGATCTACTTCTGAAACATCAGCCATGGAAAACCCTATGGAGCATAGTTCTACTCTGACACACATGGGATCACCATGAATTGGAGTCAATTCAACAGCAACTGGTTTTTAACCTGGTCATTGCTGTTAGGAAGACATCCAAACATTTACCCTGGTTTATAATGCCCATATTAATCATCAGCTGTGAAGGACTGTGGTGAGATAGGAAGCTGAGGAAGTGATCAGAGGACAGCCGTCATGGTTCCCATGGCGCTGCTCCTCTGCCCCATCTCTAGACCCTTCTGTCAGAGCCACAGAGCCCTTTCGGGGTCTAGAGCTGGGATGTCACTGCTGTCATTGCTGAGCAACCAGCAAACTAGGAGCAGGATGGGGCCTTTGTGCTTCAGCCACCCTAACATTCCACGTGGAGGATGTTCTGCCAACTCAAGGTTGAACCCAGATGCTTTGTCCTGTTAAAACATCACTGTACAGACAGATGGTGCAAGACTTCAGCAATCTGAGGCTAAATAGATTTCAGTGCCTGTGGATAACCATCCTGTATGATTTTAAACTATCGTGTTAAATGGTAAACTTTTAGGGATGTTTAGCTATTTGAAGGGGTGTTTAGCTATTTGAAGCTCTGAAATTCATTGTAGTTGCTGGGACATCCTGATTTGTGAGTAAAACAATGAAATGTGTATTAAAAATAACAGGAATACAGTGTCTTGACAATGGAAACATGGCGAACCACCACCCTCACTTGACAAGTAGCAGATAATATAAATCATTATTTTATAGTTTATCTACTTTATAACTTCATACTTCGACCTATCTCATTTCACTAAAGTTGACAGCCTGTTCCTGGGATGGTGGTGAAGGAGGTGTGCATTGATTGAGCAGGACCGGAGGGTGGGCTGCCTGTCTCTTTGAGCTCTACGGTGAAAGGACGGAGGGATGGTGGTCACATACAGACGCAGAGGGAGAGGGTGGTGCTGCTCCTCGGCTCTAACTGTTGGATCTTTCCCACAGAGTCCCTTTTACCTCTATGCCAGATTACATGGTGCATGAAGAATTTAACCCCAATCAGGCCAACGGGAACTACGAGTCCAGAAGAGGGCCCTTCGACTTTGACATGAAAACAGTTTGGCAGAGAGAGGCCGAGGAACTTGAAAAGGACAAGAAAAAGGTGACAGGAACCTATAAATAGATGGCATTTGCCTTACTCCTGCAGCTCCCTGCGTAATCACATGATAATTTAGTGATAGCTGGTGGTTTTCTTCTGTTACCCCTGGCATCAGCCCGTGTTCTCTGTTTTAAACTTGGGTATACTAGAGGTGAGTGACATGATAATGTTGTCTTTCTTTTTCTTCATATGAATTTTTATGCAGTAAGATTAATTTTTACTAAATGATGTTTAACTACTTAATGCGTATCGAGGGGATAATTGGCACACCACCTCTCAACTGGCACATATAGAAAGGGAATTTTATATTTATTCATTATCCAGTTTATAAATATTTACATTTTATTGAAATATTTAAGTTAAAATTTCCCTGAAGTACTCTTTATTATAAAGGAAGAGAAGATGAAATCTTTTCTTCTGTACAAAATCCCAGGGCTGTATATACCACCAAGGAGAGATGACTAAATCGAAGCCTTCTTAGGGGGTTTGTACTTGCACAGAGAAGCTGGGAAACTCAGGAGCCATCAGTTACCAGGAGATTTCTTGTGGTGACATCTTGATTAGAAGACCTTACGATCCTCTTGCCTGCTCTTCGCTGGTCCCGCGGCCTCTTGGTGTGCCTAGGGGACAAAATTCGGGACACCAGCACTGTTACCCATGAGCTCCCATGAGCCACCCTCAACCCCACCCCACTGTTAGCTGCTGGGGGAGAGCCTGGCTCAGCATTGCCCTCCGGGGGCTCTAGAACTGAACCTCTGAAATTCCTTGTGGTTGCTGGGACATCCTGATTTGTGAGTGGAACAGTGAAATGTGTATAAAAATAACAGGAATACAGTATCTTGACAGTGGGAACATGGCGAACCACCACCCTCACTTCACAAGCGATCATTCCAAGTCGTGAATGAGCAGATGTTTATTGACGAGCAGACTTCACAGTTGGTGTCTAGAACTATATCCTCCTGACTCTTGGCTTTGCTGCTCACGTCCTGGTTTAAAGAGAAGCTCCGGCAGTTTATTTGAGCACTTGTGTAGTTGAACACCACGTGGTGTATCTGCTGGCTCAAATTAGCCATCTTTTTTGCTCTGCAAGAACATCCCCAATCTCCAGCTGTGATTCTGGCTCTGGGTCACTTGAATGATAAAGTTAGCTAACTATTTTAAGGCTCTTGTCTGTTTCTTCACCAAATAGAAGTGACCAGTTACGTTGTGTTAAAGCATGGAACGATAAATGGAACCTTTGGATGTTAGCTGCTGTATAGTACATAGCTAGAAAATTTTTAAAATGTGAAATGCTGTATCACCCCAAACCAGGTGGGACTGTTGAGTAAGTATTTGCAAATGCTGTGCCGGCTGCTGAACAAAGTGCCTGAAACACGCCTGGCCTCTACCTGTGTATCAGGAGGCGGGATCAAAAGGATTTGTGGTCAAGACACAGCAATATTCTAAGGCTTTGATCAGCCAGTTCAGCAGACCCTATCCACTGTGGCCCACCCCACAAAGTTTATGTGTGTAGAAGGGCTTGGTAGAAAATAAGGAGATGTGCAATGTAAAGTATCATCGTTGCTGTACAGTGGGAGATCCTCAGATTGAATCTTAGAGGCATAGATATTTTCCATATGTTTATTCGTTCACACGGCGCTGCATTCATGTGCTCTGCAGAATAACAGAGTGCAGGCTCTGGGGTGAGACTACCTGTGTTTGAATCCTAACTCTGGCACTTTTTAGTTGTGTGACTTTGAACAAGTTGCTTAACTTCTCTGTGCCTCAGGATCCTCATCAGTAATATGCGGATACACATGATGATGATGGTATCACCTGGGTGCTTTGGGGGTTAAGGGAGTTAATACATATGTGAGTGTTCGGCTTTGTCTCTGGAACACATTATATATTCAGTAAATGTTACCAGTTACAAAAAATAAAGAGTTGTGGTTAAAGACAGTACTGTAGGTATTGAACAGTTAAGGGTAACATCCATGGAGATCATAGCATCAGGAAGGGCCCAGATTTCCCTAATAACATATTTTAATAAATATCCCACTCTGCTATATCACTCACCTGGGAATGTCTGTTGCACAGAAACAAGGGGAGGTCTGTTTAAAAAATTTTCTGTCTTGTATCTTGCACCTTTTCGCACAGATGTACTAAGAATATCAACATAAAAATGTATCACAATATTAAGCGAGCGGGGCATGTTGGAATTTGGTTGGCATCCTTCCTCAGCCTCTCCTGGAGCCTGGCCCCTGCCCCATGCCCTTCCGCCTCTTGTGGCTGCAATTGGTATTCACCGCCGACCTGTCTGGAGCCTGAGACTGGGCCCGTGGACATGCGTTTCCTTAGCTATGCTTTGACCTCCTCATGGGGCTCTTGGTGGTGGACACCCAATAATACTTAAAGACAAATGTTGTATCCCATTGTTTATCAGTCTTAATGGGCTCTTAAGAGCTCACCTACAGGGGGATTAGGGGGGATCTTGTTTCCCTTTTCTGAATAGCCATCTTTTCTTCCTCAAATGCTTGTAATACCTCCATGAATTTTATTTGTTTTGGGTTTTTTTCCTGTTTTTTCATAGCTTTTTTTTTTCTTTTTTAAAATAAGATATAGTTTACATGCAGTACAATTCACCCTTTATAAAGTTCTGTTCTATGTGTTTTAACACTGTGTGACCAGCACAGCCATCAAGGCATAGAGCAATTCCGTTCACCCAGATGACCCCTTGCTGGTTTGTCATCCCCTCCCCCACACCCACCCCTGCAAGACTGATCTATGTTCAGTCTTGATAGCTTTTCCTTTTCCAGAATATCAAATAAATGGATCATACTCTATGTATTGTGAATGCTTGGTTTTTTCCATGTGGCATAATGCATTCGAGATTCATTCATATTGTTGCAAGTGATCAGTTATTCGTTCCTTTTCATTGCTGAGTAGCATCAGATTGTGTTATCATAGTACAATTTATTTCACCCTTCACCTGTTGATGGAACATTTGGGTTTCCATTTTTTATGTATTATTAATAAAGTTACCATAAACCTTTGCATACAGGTGTTTGTGTGAACGCAAGTTTTTATTTTACTTGGTAAATACCTGGAAGTTGGACTGCTAGATTATCTGGTATGTGTATGTTTTAATTTTGTAAGAAACTGCCAAGCTGTTTTCCAAAGTGAGTCTGTTATTTTACGTTCCCATCCATGGTGCCAGCTGCCCCACATCCTCACCAGCTCTTGGTTTTGTCAATTTGTTTTTTTCTTTTGTCTTTTAAACCAGTCTAATAGATGTGTAATCATATCCATTGTGGTTTTGATTTACATTTCCCCAATGACTAGTGATTCTTTGAGCCTCTTTTCAAGTGCATTTTTGTCAGCCATATATCTTCCTTGGTGAAGCATCTGTTCAGATGTTTTCCCACTTTTAATTGAGTTATTTGTTTTCTTATTAATGAGTTTTGAGAATTCTTTATATATTCTAGATAAAAGCCTTTTGTCAGATATGAGTAGAATTTGTACCAGGTTGTTTTTTATTTGTTTGTCTTTACTTTTTTCCCCTCCATGCTGTTTCTTACATAGATAGGCTAATAGTATTTTGTATTCTGCTCTTTTCATTTCTGAACCATTATAAAGCTATTTTTAAAATGGGGGTTCCAGCTATAATATTCAGTTAACACAACTGATGCTTCCTGCTTCAAATTCTTTGCAGGATGAGACAGAATATAAACTAATATTGTGCTGTGGAATAAATGATTTTTCCTTTATTTAATAAGGGAAGCAACACTTGGCTCTGGAGATTTTTGAGAGAGTAGTAATCACAGAGCCCATTAGCATGTGGATCCTGGCTTAGCCCCTTCGTGCATTCTTCCTTCGTTCCCCTGGATGAACCTCTTCCCTTTGGACTCCTCCCCCTCCTGCCCTATTCTCTCCTCTCTCTGTGGCAGTCCTTTGGCCAAGAAGGCACCTGGGCCTACAGAACTGTTCATCTTTAGTCTAGAGACACCCAGCCAGCCTGAAGTGAAACATTATTTTTGATCTGTTTGAATTGCTTATCAGTTTTTTTTTCATCATATACTATTTTGTGCTTTTGGATTCTGAACCATGTGTATGTATGCTTTATAATTTAAAAAATTAGCTTATTAAATTTATTTAGTAGAGTAATAGGAGATGTTAACATTACATGTATTAAAAAAAATTATGACCACTTAGATTCTTTCCCAGGAAGGTGCTGTGCTCTAGAGTTTAAACTTAAAATCACCGCACGCACGTTGACCTGTGTAGTACTTTTCTTTTTTTCTTCATGTTATTTCATGGTAATATCTCACTGCTTCCCAAATCTGCCTGTTGACTTTAGCAAAAGTGATTAGCGTTGGGGTCCATGTTTTCAAGCAACTGAAGCCCCCGATTTAGTTTAGAAAAGTAAATCTATACGGCAGTGTTTTGAACAGTGAATCATGAAGTTGAACATCTTCAAGTGCCTATCTGAGAATGATAACATCAGCAAATTACATGCTGCAACATTGCATGTAGTACGTATTACTAATGATAAGAAAAAAAAAAGAAGGTCGTAAGTGCGAGTCATTGTAAGTCGAATACATGGTAAGACTACCTGCAGTGGAATTGCACCTGGCTAAACTGTTACAAAGACAATGCAGTCCATCTGCCCTCATGACCACAGCACCTCCCTTCTCTACCACACACACAAGACAGACTGAAGAGTCGCACCTGGCAGCGGGAGCGGTGAGCCCACTTTTTGCCCTCTTTAGGGACTGGATAAAAAAAGCAAGTTTAAATGCCCTGCCCTGGGTGCCCTTTCCCTTTTGCTCCACGCTGGTTCTCACTGGAATGGTCAGATTGGAGGAATCTAAAACATTCTTCAGAGAATGTTCTCTCTGCTTCCCCACGGATGATTCCATCTGCCCACTCTTTCATCCAGCCCAGCTGGGCTCTTCCCCAGGGTGTGTGGTGAGGGGAAGTGCCAGCCACAGAGGTGGGGACTGCCAACCTCTAGGAAATCCCTTGAGGACTGGGCACCTCCCATAGGGCCTTTACTATCTCGCATCGTTAGTGGTTTGTGTTCTTTCTCCCTGAGTAGATGGCATCTTTACTTGAATTCAGCAACTGCTTTTGAATCACTGAGAATCCTTTCTACATAGTAGGTATTGATAACTGTTTCGTTGAATGAAGTTGTTTGTTGACTTATATTTCATTGTGACTATTTACCAATAAAATAACTACCATGCTGAAGGTCCAATCCTATATATTTTGTATTTTTGCTACTGTTTGTGTTTTCTGATTCTACTTCTCCTTTGGTGTCTGAGCTGCAAATGCTCTTCACTAAATCGGGGTTCTGTATGTTTCTTGGCACAGGTGAGGCTGCCAGCTATTACCTCAAAGCATCCAAGCAAAGTGGGAACCCCTGTCACCTCCAAAGAGACTTCTGGGAATAGAATTTCCTTTCCTCCAATGTAAGTGGATGAGCAAAACAGAGACTGTCTGACTTAACCTTGGGTTTGTTCTGTCATCTTCATACAAGTGACGATGTCAACATACTGTGCTGATATTGGCCCAATGACATTTGCTTCCTGACCTTTGTTTTTGGGCAGTGCTTTTTGTGGCTTTGACCATTACAGCTTCCTATAACCTAGCGTACTAAACCCTGGCCTGGTATTGCATCGCCTCGCTTCCTAATACCATCTTTCACTCCCTCTCAGCATCTCTTCTGCTCCTGTTGAGCACAGTGTCTCCCTCCTCCATGCCTGGTTTTCTGGGCTAGTTTGCGTGTGCGGATGCTGTACTTCTCCACTGAGATCTAATCTTCTCCACCAGCCGGTGTCCTGCCTGAAACCCACCTCCACCATCCTGCCCTCACAAAATCTGGCTTTCACTGGCTGCCTTTTAAATTCTGGACCACTTCTTACATCTATGCGTTGCCTAATTGTGTTATCTTCTATGTCGCTGAGGTCTGAACCTTGATGTTTGCTCCTTTCAAGTGTTCTTGCTTTGCATTCATTTAAAATATACACCAGCTGCTCTTACATTTTGTTTATCCCCCAGCTGGAAGGTGAAAGCCCTGTAGGCTTCTGTTTGTCTTTTACCTTCCTAGAATCCTACTTTAGTGCTAGAGTAAATGCTATTAATTGTTTGACTAATTCTTCAAACAGCCTCGAGTCCAGTGAGGGGGAAAGTAATCAAACAGCTGCATTACAGTGTGACATATGTGCACCAAGCTCAGACAGGGAGGGAGAAAAAGTAAATAGAGGAAAGACCAGTAAGAATATCTTAGTAAGTGAGAAATCTGAGGCTCGGAGAACAAGTGATGCGTGTCACCTGTTTAACTTCAAAGCTCGTGTGGTGTCCACCATGTCCAACTTCTTTGTCACTCTCTAGTGTATGTCTTCCGTAAGGATGAAGCAAGTGGTGCAATGCTGAGCTAACAAAGATCAATGATAGAAAGAGGAGAAGGCTTTGTAAGGGAGGAGAGAGCTGGCAGATAACTTTTAATATGAACATGTAGAAGGAAGAAAGAAGTTTTTAACTACTTTTTAAAAATGATATGCTCAAAGCAGCTCATCACGACCTAAGGAGAAGATGGTGTTCTCTGAAGACAGCTTCTCAGTGAACTGCTAGGATTTTTTTTCTTTAATTGGATATTATGAAGAAAGGTTCTGGAAACCAGAGTAAGCATGCTCTTGTTGTCGGGAACTCTGGGTTCTGCTCAGTGTAACTCCATCAGAGCCAAAAAGACAAGAGACTGAGTTGGGGAGACTGAAAGGCAACTTTATTGGTTGGCCAAGCAAGGAGACAGATGGGGCTGCGTGCCATCCAAGGCTGCCTCGCAGGCAGCTGGCTGAGGCTGGTTTATATAGGCAGGATCCGTTTCAGAATACAAAATGGCACGTGCACAGACTCAGAACGATTTAGAATGAGTAAGCATTTTCTAAGGCCCGGGTTTGATTGCCTGTGCAGAAGGAACTTAGTCATTTTTGTTCATTAGCACTGTCAGCTCCCTACCCAGGGGCAGAGAATTTACCATGCATGAAGCAGTTAATGAGCTACAGGTCGTCTGGAATGCCAGGATGGAGGACAGGACCTGTTTCAGTGGATTCTGGCTAGTCGGTGGCTGTTTCTCTTTAAGGAGGTTTTGAGGAGGAAAAGAAAGAACTCTAGGGAATGCGCTGGGTGAGGGGCTGTCTTGAGGCTAAGAAAAATGGCTCTATGGCTCTAGCCCTATCTTACTCCTACCCATGCATAAGGGGTGCTTTGTGTACTTCCTTATGCTTCAAAATGGAAAGAGACAGGTCTCCATTATGTTTTAAGGGATAATAACTCATCTTGTTTATATCAGTATGTTCACGGAAAGGTGCTTCTGATTTATTATCAACCTTTGTACTTAAGTTTGACATTAATTTTTCTCTTTTTGAGGCCTGGTCAAAAAACCAGTTCACCAACAAACTTTTCCAAACTTATTAGCAATGGTTATAAGGATGAGTGGTTACAGCAGCGAGCGGATTCAGAGAAGAGGACCCCGCAGACATCAAAAACGTCCACATCATCTCGGTCCCCGGAGAACCCTGAAGGACAGCAGGACCCAGAGGCACTCCCAGACCCAGACGTCCCTGAGGGATCTCAGAGAGATGAAGGTAAATAAAGCTCAACCAGCAGCCCATTTACCCACTGGGGTTTGGGTTAATTGTGATGGCAGCAACTGACTTTTTCTTATTTCATTATGTTAATGAGTAATCTAGAGTGAGTGATCTAGAAACCAGGTTAAAAAGTCAACAGAGGTATTGAGGTTACAATGAATAAATCATTTAGAACATTCCCTATAATTAAATGCTCAAAATACTATATTAGTTTCTATTTTTCACGGTTATAGATAAAATTATTCTTGGTTTTAGGACATGTATTTGTTAAACCTATTGTAATTGTAGTAATTGATAGAGCTATGGAATTATTACAGTAGAGCTATTCCATAGCTCTATCAGTTATTGACCATGTGCCTTTCGGCAACTTGCTTTTACTCTTGATGTCTCCTTTCTTTCTGTACCCTGCCTGCCTTTTCCAATTTTGTTCGTTACATACAGTTCTCTCCATTATCTTGATGGGTGGGGTGGGTAACCCCAACAGACTAGGTGTTATTAAAGAGTGTACCGTTGCACTTTGCAATGTCGCCTGTGTTTTATGACTTAATTTTGTTGTTGTTTAAGTAATACAGGCTGTTTACTAATTCTCTAAGTAATTATGACTTCTTTTTTAATACTGGCCTGTTCCATTAAATTAAATGACTGATGTACTTGTTCTTTATTACAGAGTCTTCTCCTCCAAGTGAGTGTTTATAGAGAAACTGAACTGCATGGAAAAATAAAAAATGTCTTAAGGGAAACAACCAAAAGCACTGATGGATATAGTCCTCGATTCTGAAACTGAAGTCTCGGCAGCCTGTGACGTCCTGCTCCAGACCGCGACCGCGTGTATTCTAGCTTCAAAGTCATGTACCATTGTTGTAGGGAAAAAAAATCACAAAGTTTAGTAAAACAAAAAGAAAATTTTATTCGGCATATATTAAAAAAGGCAAAAGTGGGAAGCGGATAAGCATGCTGCCAGAGCTAATGTCTGCCTGAATCCGAGGAAATATTACAGAGTCATCAGTGTATATTAACATTATGAATGGGCAAAACCATTGAAAGCTTCACCTTTTCACAGATTGGCCAGAAACTGTGATCCTACATTTTGAATTGTCTTTCTTAACAATGGTTGGTATGGGTTTCAGTAACAACAGTCAGGAAGGTCTTCATTGGTCCAACAAATTTTCTATTCACTAAATGCTAATAGAAAAAGATAAGAGTGGAAACTCTTCGGTGTTCTGTTTGATTGGTTTCTGTGAAAGGTTCCCTAAAAGATATTTTCCAAGATTGTCCTAGCTAATGTCTTTATACCTCAGAGCCCAGTTGATGTGTTCTTGTTGAGTCCTTGTGAGTCCACCTCCAGCGGGGTCACATTCTAGGCCAAGGAATAATGGCTCCAATGTTATCTCCTAAATAATTATATACACTTAAACAACAAAAAAAAAAGAGCTCTAGACACACAATTTGGGGACAGCTAAAGAAGGAAGAAACCCTAGTGGCATAGTGGTTAAGTGCTATGGCTGCTAACCAAAAGGTCAGCAGTTCAAATCCACCAGGTGTTCCTTGGAAACTCTATGGGGCAGTTCTACTCTAGACTACAGAGTCACTATGAGTTGGAATCCACTCAATGGCAGTGGGTTTGTTTTTGTTTTTGTTTTTTTTTTTAGTTAAAGAAGGACCACTATTATTATTACAACAAAATTATTTAATTCTTTTACGTATATTCCAAAAGAAAAAACATACTTGAGTTTAGTTCACAGGCATACATTTTATTACTCATCATGCAAGAGAGGCATGGGTTTATATAATGGAAAAGAGAAGCAAAAAGCCGTGGGACAAACTCAAACAAAAAAGCAGCAAGAGCAGAAGCTCGCCTGGATAGGGGATTTTAGTATTAATTTACGACATGGTCTTAAGTAGATAGAATTTATTTCATCCACGACAAGATGCATGATCTAATCAAGGGGCTGTCATTTGACAGTAGCATAGATTTATAAACTTTCTATCTATGAATAAATTACTGCGTATATGATATAATCTGTATATTTAGATTAGCAACAGGACATGATTAATTTGAGAAACATTTTAGCCATTGAAAATTAATTAAAGACTAAATCATCAGTGAAGCCCCTGTCATCTGGAATGACAAACATTTGGCTGAGCGACTCTGCTTCCCTTGCAGCTATTTCCTGAACAGCTGAGGGTGTCACTCCAGAAGTGATTGCTGCTTCCCCTCCTCAGTGTTTCAGATCCCCAGGCTATTGCTAGTGAAGACCTCTGTCTCTGATCTCCATCTTTCATTCTGGTGTTTTTCTTCCCTGTATTTCCTTACCTCTTCTGTCTCCTTTTTCTTCTGCTATCCTGGTTTTTAATTTTTATAAACAACAATAACTAGTCCAGGTCCTGCCCTTTTCCTTCTGGTTGGAAAAACCTCCACTTAGAGCCTGTTGCTGTAACTTTCTGGACCTCTGCTCATCAAGACTTCTTAAGATGGTCCTCTCCTTCCGCTAGAGACAGGATTATTTTTCTTCGTGCAATTTTTGCAGCCATTCTAGATGTTTTTGACCTGCCAGAAAAAGTGAGACTTTCAGTAACTGGTGTGGTATTGTACTTTGAAAGGGGCCGGGATTAGTGTGGATGGGTGGGACTTGATGTACAAGGACAGATGTCCTCCAGAGCCTGCTCTGTGGTGCTGGTGGGGCGTGCAGACTGACAGGCTGTGTACAGACTCCCTCCTGCCCACTCACCTCACCCCAGCTCTGCTCACAAATAATTCAGCTCAGCACATTTATGTTGGCAAAACCATTTCAGCATGCACTGGCATTTTAAATGTCTCTAACTGGACACTTTGTTCTTGTCCACCAGTGTGCAAGTTGGAGTCTGATGTTTCAGATGGTGTGACTGCCTGGTGATGGGACTGTATACTAAATTTTTATGTAGACTTCAGGAGTAATCTTTATATATAGGTAGAGAAATGTATGTTTTTCTTTTATTTAAAATTAATAAATATGTTTAAATTTGTAAAAAAAAATGCCACCTCTATCTTTTTATCTGTCTGCTCATCTGTTAACTTTGCATTACAGGTGCGGCGGCATCTCTGTCTGCTTCAACACCCGAGGAGCTCAAATGAACCCTAACATTCTAAGTGTTTAGGATAGTTATTTTAATGCATACAGCTGATATGGCTGTGTCACAGCTATATTTACAAGGTTCTCGTTATATTTTAGTAATATAGGTTCTTATGATATAATTCACCTTGTAGTAGATTTGACATCCTTGTAGCATAGATTGTGCATTTGTTGAGTTTATATCTTGAATTTTTCTGGGATGTGACATGTGGTCAAGAAACACAACTAAGACCATTGCTGCCTTTTGCCTTGCTGACCTGAGGATGTCCCAGGATCTTAGAACCAGTCATTTCCTCCCTGGTGTATCGTTATCTGGTATCACTTCTTACTGCTGGACCACTGTTTGGTGGTGTTGCTATTGAAATTGATTGTTTAGACTCTTTAACTAGAAGAAACTCAGAGAACAAGCTTTGAGCCTTTTCCATTATTTGATCCTGTAACCTTTTTAGAAATAATTTTTCTGTTACAAGAAATGTTTACTTCCAGAATACTGTGATATGGCTTATATTAGGAAAATAGATTTTAATTTATTATGCCTTAAAGTTTTAAACACTTAATATAAGAATATTGTAGCCTTTGCTAGTTTTAAAATTTTGCTAATACCTTTTGCATAAACTGAAATCCAGAATATTAAACATTTATTATTTTGTATTCTTTAAGCAGCAAATGTTTAATTTTAATATTTTCATTTAATAGACTTAAACATTTTTAATAATCAGATTGAATTATCTTGTTTTGTAAATTTTGTTACTATTTATATATACAAGTAATTAGAATGTAGTTTATATTTTGTATATTTAATTCATTAGTAAAATAAACGTTTTTCTGCAGGAAGATTTCAGAAAGCCAGATAAAGTCATAGATATTTTAGCTTCTTTCCCAGAATAAACTTATCATGCACTTGCTCACCTAAAATTTAAAATTTGTAAATTAGTTCTTTAAATGAGATATTTAATTGTGCCCATATATCTATATTATTATAGCAAACAGATATTACTATGGGAGAATGTATGAAATGTGAAAGGCTGTATATAGTGAATAAAAATAATTACTATTGAATAAAAAGAATTATACCATTGCAGTAAGGCATTCATTTATTTCCTCTTTTCTCTTTTCTGCCTTTCTCCACCCCAATTCCTGACATCCTCTAGTTTGGTGAAAAATCACCAGGAATAGGCTGCTTCGAACTCTTTCTTTTTTTGTGGGTTATTATAGGAACTGAAATTTGTGGTTTAGACAAGTAGAGGGCAAAACTTGGAATAAGGAAGACCTAGGATCAGATCCTTGGCTATACACACACACTCACACATGCACTCATATACACGCTCACACACACACACACACACACCCTCCATTGGTGCTCTCACAGTGTTCAGACATTCTGTGAGGACATCTATTAACCTCAGCTCATCAGAACCTTAGCTCCCCTTAAAGAGCTTGGGCTAGTTACTTGACTTCTTTGAGCCTCATTTCCTACCATATTAAATGGAGATAAAGCTCTCTACCCCCATTGTTTGTTGTGAGAATTAATTAAAGTAAGCTTCAATAATGTTCCTACACAATGCCTGACACATAGTATTCAATAGTTAATCCTCTCACTTGGCTTTCAGAAACCAAGGCTCAATTCAAGGGTTCAGCTTTCCCAAGTCATGGAAAGCCAGCATCATTTAGGAAAGCTAGATTCTAAACTGGTGAAGTTTTCTTTTGTACAGGGTCCTGTGAAAATTAGTGCAGAAGAAGTTAGTGGAAAGTGGGGGAAAGTAGACGAGGAAATAGCTTTAAGGAGGAGAATGTAGACTAAACACAATTCTGATGTAAAAAGAAGGCAGAAACAGGTATCAGGAACTAGAGCAGCTGTGAAGATGGAAGAGAATGAGGCACTCCACACCCTTATGGTGGACTTAACGGGGTCCTATGAGGCATCTTCTGAAATTGGCTGAATTGTACACCGAAAATCAGCAGAAAAAAGGTTGGGCACGCTGCCTTAAATGCATAGGTGGTTCTTCCACATTTCTTGGATTTAAAGGTTAAAAAGAAAGAAAGTAGTTACAGATGAAGATCAAAGTCCACAGCCTTCAGTATGGATTACACCTCAACATAAAGAAAACAAAAATCCTCACAAATGGACCAATAAACAACATCATGATAAACAGAAAAAAGATTGAAGTCACGGATTTCATTTTATTGGATCCACAATCAACACCCATGGAAGCAGCAGTCAAGAAATCAAATCACTCATTGCATTAGGTAAATCCACTGCAAAAGACCTCTTTA